ACTCATAATTCTAGCACTTTGGGAGGCCGAGGAGGGAGGATCACTTAAGGTCAGGAGTTCAAGATCAGCCTGAGCAAGAGTGAGACCTTGTCTCTGCAAAAAATAGAAAAATTAGCCATGCATGGTGGCACCCCTGTAGTCCCAGCTACTTGGGAGGCTGAGGCAGGAGGATTGCTTGAGCCCAGGAGTTTGAGGTTGCAGTGAGCTATGATGATGCCACTGTCCTCTAGCTGGGGTGACAAAGCAAGACCCTGTCTCAAAAAATAAAAAAAAGTAGCTGCTCAATAAATACTTGTTGAACCAAATGAATGAATATTATAAATGCTCCTTTGTAAATTGCAAGATACACTTGCTTCTTAAAAAAAAAATCCAATGTATATTTAATCAAAATTGTATCAAAATAAAATTGACACTAGAAATTACTGAATTGAGTAGCTTGAAACTTCATTTGTAAATTCTTTATGTTAATTTTTTGGAGGTGGTTAAGGGGAGATTAGTGCCCTGGTACTGTTCTAAATATTTTTGGGTTATGGAAACTTTTGAGAAATGATGTGGAGCCTTCATCAGAAAAATATTCAAATAACACACAAAGTTTTGCATGTAATTTTAGGGGGGGGTCATGAACCATTTGAAGCCCATCTATTAAACCCCTGTTGGGTCTATAAGTCCATTCATATTTGAAAGCTGAACTGGGCCCCATGTACTCTTGAGTCTGAGCCGTATGATCTTCATTCCTGTGCCATCCTAGCTTATTCAGCTTCAACAGGAGGTGTGGCTTAGGATTTGATCTCTCTGCAGGTCAGTTCCTCACCTTTCAGCATGATCACCAGTCTTGTTTATTCAAGCAACAGTTTGACTTTATATTTATCACACATAATTCTAAGTTTTAAAATAGTTACTTTGTGATAAGTATACCTGTTCCCAAACTTAGAATTAAGTGTGATAAATATAAAGTGTTAGACTCAGCACATATGGATTTCTAGATAAATTTCTGAGTATACTATTCAATTCTCACTCCTGGTCATCCTACAACATGTTCACAGAATAAACACAGTTCAGGGTATACAAAAACAAAGTTCTGCTCACTGCTCAGCCTTTTGCTTGCAGCTCTTTGTGCTACCAGAGCCATTTTTTTCTTACTCTCTTATTTGCTAATCCCAGTGGCTTAGAAGTCATTCTACTTTACTTCTCTATGATATTTGTCATTCTTGATCACTGTGCCTCCTTTATGAAACTTTCATCTTTTTATGGCTTCTTTGACACTACTCTCTCCTAATTGTCTTGCTGCCCACTCTGGCCACATCTCAGCCTCCTTCCTTGACCCACCTTCTTTATCAGGCTCACACCGGTATGTTTTCTTGGCTTCTTTTCCATTTCTCTCTAAGCTCGCTCCCTGAGCCGACTTACTAGACTTAATTATCACTTAAAAGCAAATGGCTTCCCATTTTTTCAGATCAGAGTTCTAGATTAGTATTTCCAACTGGCATACTGCATGTCCCAGAGATTCCTTAATATTTAACACATCTAATAATGCCCCCAACCTGCTTTCTACTTTCATTCCTTATCTCGGTTTATGGCAGCATCATCTATCTGGTCACTAGAATTAGTCATACATTACACCTCCTCTGTCAATTATCATGACTGGCTTGAGCTGATGCATCAACAACAGCACAATGTAGCAGTTCTCAAGAGCAAGGACTCCGCACTGGGTTGCCAGGGTTCAAACCCAGGTCTATCACTTACTAGGTGGTGATCTTCAGCAAGATACTTAACCTCTCTGTCCGCATTTACTCATCTCTAAATGAGGATAATGATAGTACTTACCTCCTAGGGTTCTTGTGAGGATTAAATAAATTTGCATTTGTAAAGTGCTTAGAACAGTGCCTGGCACAGTCAGTCCCACATAGGGGCTTGTTAGTAAATTGGTCTTGGGTTTGTCCCCACTCTAGACCATCTTTCACACTGCTGACAGAGGTTTTTGAGGGGCTAACAAATATAAAGTATTCAACCAGGGGCCAGTCATCGTGCTAAGTATTTTATTAACATATACAGAATCTCATTTAATTCTCAAAACAACCTGTGAGGGAGGTGTTATAATCCTCATTTGAGAGATGAGGAAAGGGGGGGGGGGGCTTTAAGAGCTAAAGGACTTTGTCCAAGGTCACATAGTTTGTAAATGCCAGAGTTGGGGTTGAAATTCAGGCCTGTCTATTCCCAGAGCCAGTGTTCAAAACCAGGAAGCTATACTATACTGCTGTCCCACACCTCAGTTAGTCACTCACTACTTACACTTCTTCAAAGTTCCACACTGCCTATGGTGTCATGACCTATTCCTTCACAATCTTTTTCTAACTTATTTCCTGCAACTTTCCTCCACGTGACCTGCTCTTTCCTCCCTCCTTCCCCTGCCTTTCCTTTGGTTTTTCAACACTTTTTGAATGCCTGAGTGCCATGCACGATGCTAAATTGAAGAAAACAAGGCAAATGAGCAATTTGTCTTCAAAGAGCTCATAGTCTGATACAAATTATTACTGACAATCCAGGGAGGGAAGTGCACCAGGGTGAAGTGGGAGCCAGACTAGAGGGAGAAGGGGAGAGAGCAAAGAAACTCTTTGAGGAGGGGACATTGAACTGCCTTAAAGGATATTCTAATCAGACACCTTCTTGTCATTCTTCAACAATTCATATTTTTTGCTTTTTGCTTTTGAGATCCTTAGGGTGTCTTTTCCCCTCTATCAGATTGTTAGCTAAGACTGGATTTCAAAATCAGCTTCTCTGTGAAACCATCCCTTCCTTGCGGGTCAAATGGATGTTTGTTTCCTTATAAGGGGTGGGGAACTTGTGGCCTTGGGGCCACATGTGGTCTTCTGGGTCCTTGAGTATGGCCTTTAGACTGAATCCAAATTACACAGAACAAATCCCTTATTAAAAGGATTTGTTCTGTGAAGTTTGGATTCCTTTGAGGGGCCATACTTGCGGATCTGGAGGGCCACATGTGGCCTTGAGGCCACAGATTCCCTATTCAATAGTCGTGGCAAGACTGGAATACATAATTCTCAATAAAGTTTTGTTAAATGAGGAATTTTTTGCCTATTCACAAAAGAGAGTCTAAGGCAGGATGCCATTTTGATTTAGAGGGAATCAGAGAGTGGGCATTCAATAAATACTAAGTATTTGATGGTTCTACCAGTGAAATATTTGAAATAATGCTAGGAATAAGGAAATTTATTATTAAGTTTACTTCTGTGGATAAATTAAGATTTTCATGTTCTGGGTGGCAGGGCTCGGGATTGGGCATGAGACAAATTAAGAATTACTGGTTTCGGTGCTAGTTTTGAGGGTTTCCTTTCTTTTCTGGGTTGGGCCATGGTTCCAGAATTTTGTGCACAATTAAGGCACAGAGGTATGGTACTTCTGGGAGTAGTGTGCCATGGTCCATGAAGGTTCCTCCTAAGAGTTTATCATTCCAGCTCATGTCTGGCTAAAAGCCCAGGAATCTCTCTTGCAGCTGTCCCTGGTTCTGTCTTCCTAGGTGCACCAGGCAGTGATTTCCTTTTTGTGGTTGTGCCGCCTTCCTGGTAGCATAGATCTCTCTTTTGGCTGCCTCTTTCTCCTGGTAACGTTTACCTCCAGCAGAGGAGAATCTTTATGGTGGGCAGAGGGGTAGGAGTCTGAGATGAGAGGAGTTCTCATTCTTATTTTTTTTGACTCTGAGTACCCCTCCATCAGAGGTGGGATTGTATAACAGAAGCCAGAAAAGACTCATAGGCTATGCCTATTTTCCATCATGTCTCATCCCTCTCCTGAGGAAACAATTGCAGAACTCCTGTTGGTATGAATTAAGGGGAATGGAAAGGGGAAAAGAACATGGAGGAAAAAAAAAAAAGACAACAGCAGAGATTGATATCTCAGAACACTGCTCCAGCCATGGTAGTCCCCTAGTAAATCTTTGGGTCTCATAAGAATTGTGAGAATTAAAGGACAAAGGACATGTAAGGGGTTTAGAGTAGTGTTTGGTACAGGGAGAGCGGGTATTCAATAAATGTTAGCTATTATTATTATCCAGAGCCTCTCCACCCAAGGAGGGACCCAGGTTTCTGGCTCAAATCAGTCCTCCAGGACAATCACTCTCACACACAATGTGGTGCAGAGCCATATGAGTGATTGCTTCCCCTTTTCCCCCAGGGACAGTTCAGCCTGGATACTGGGCTCATTTCTGGTATCACTGGTGGTAGGCTTGGTACTGTATTTCCAGGGGATTCTCTTTCCTCCCAACATTGGTTTCCCTCCCAACTCTCACCATCAACCCCCAGCAAGCTCAATCACAAGTCCAGTTGGTAACTCCACTCCTGGTTTGTGTCCAGGTGTTGTTATTGGCCTTTCTGGTAGCCCTGGGACTAGACAATTATTAATACATTGAAATTTAGAAGAAGCATGCACTTTTTGGCAGCGATATCTTTAATTAAATTCAAAAGCATTTACTGAGTACCTAGAGTGTGTAAAATACTATTCCGTTAAATACATTTGGCCCTTAACTATCTGTTTTAGCTACTCAATTTGGATTAGTTCTGATCCATCCTTAAGGGTTTTATGAAGAATAAATATTAAAATGGAAAAATATTTGCACAGTTCTTTGTAAATATGAATTTCTTGGGTGGATTATTGTTGCCACAGTATTAATATTAATTGCAATAACAACACTACTGCTTCCCAGGCAAGCAGTAGAGAGGAGCTGTAGGCCAACAAGAGCCAGGCTGAAGAGGTCAGGGGAGGTGCCTTCAGCACGTCCAGCCCAGAAGGGGCGGAGTCTTATGAAATATACCCAAACCCCACCCCTTACACCACCCTCTTCTCTGGGGCGGTGTAGGCGGTTACCATGGCGATGACGTCTAGAGGGCGGGGCGGGGCGGGGCTATGGAGAGGAGGAGGAAGATGGCGGGCGGGCGGCTCTGAGGAGATCTCGGCGGCGGCGGAGGAGGAGAGAAGCGCAGCGCCGCGCCGCGCCGGGGCCCATGTGGGGAGGAGTCGGAGTCGCTGTTGCCGCCGCCGCCGCCGCCGCCTCTGCTTGTAGCTGCTGGACCCGAGTGGGAGTGAGAGGGAAACGGCAGGATGAAGTTCGCCGAGCACCTATCCGCGCACATCACTCCCGAGTGGAGGAAGCAATACATACAGTATGAGGTACCGGCGGCAGTCGGGGTGTGGGAGGACTCGGAGGGGCCACCATCCAGCCAGTCCTCACCTCCACCGCTGCCTTCCGCTCTTGCTGCCGCTTCGCGCCGGGGCAGACTTTGACCCGCTGCCGCGGGGAGCCACTGCGGCATCCCCGCCGCGGCCGGCTCCCTCCCGGCCCGCCGTCCTTCCCCTCCCCCGCAGCCCCGCTGCCGCCGGGGTAACGGATATGCGGGCGGCGGGCCGAGAGGAAGGGCACGGCCCGGGCCGGGGCTGGGGGATGGTGGTGGGAGGGCGAGTCGCAAGTGGGGGAATCGTGGGTGCGAGGGCAATCCCCGGTGGCGGCGGTTCCGCGATAATCCCCTCCTCCCCGCTCACCCTGACCTCTCGTCCCCACCCTGGGCGAGCACCTCCTCGCCAAGGTTGGGTCTTGCTTCTCTACTCACCTCTCACCAAGGAATCCTTCTCTTCTGAGATAAGCCCCCCTTCAGTGATTTCCTTCATTCCACAGAGCCCTTCGGCTTTTCCCACTTGCCCACTGTTGACAAAGGCTTTGTAACAGTGTTGAAACTTAAGTGTGTATCACGTATGCAGTGGTTATAGTCTGCAAACATTGTAATCAACTATTCTGTTCTGATAATAAGACGGTGATTGCACGAAGTGTACAGAGTAATCACATCTTTGGTTTTGGCTCTTCTGTTGTTTTGGAATGGAGGGAAGAGAAAGGAGGGAAGAAGATTATTTAAATTTTCAGGTTTTCCGATAAGTTTTGTTAGCTAAGGAGAGAATTACTATATTGTAAACAATATACATTACCTGGGTATTACAGAAATCATGCCCCCCTTCCCTCCCAATTTGTGATAACAGCTGCTGGAGGATATTTAATGGATAATAAGGAACCTTACATTAATGCAAGGAAAAGTAAAGATAATGAACCCATTTATATATTTGGAAGGCAAGGTACCTGAAGGACTTTAAGCATTGCAATAGGTTAGCTAGCAATTCAGCTCCTGGATAGAGAAAGAAAGACTTATCTGTTAACCTCCAGGAATTCATGTCTGTGTTATGTGCAGGAACAAAGAATATAAAATCAATATGAACACATGTATGCTAGCTAGATTTTATGAATTAAACTATTTTAGTTCTCTTTAATTTTTATATAAGTTTTGTGATAGGCTTAGGCAATAGCAGTGAGTTTTTTTTATTCATATAGTGATTGTAATAATTGAAGAAGACAGGGAAAGGGATGTAGGTAGGTTAAGCACAATCTTGAAGATTGTGAAATAAATTCACTTGCAACATACAGTATTTGATTATTGCCAAAAATGAAAGGCCTGGAATTGTTAATGCTTTCTTGTTACTTAATTTTCTTAATAGTGTTTTGTGGCCATATTTTGTAAGTAAGAATGAAATAAGGGACTAACATTTTGGCCTGTAGAGTTGTTGATTTATCGTTTCTAATAACATTCAGTCAGTTTTAAAACCTTGGCTAGCGTCCAAATAATGGTTTTTATTGAAAGAAGGGTATTGGTCTTTCTTCTTTCTAGTAGTAATTTTCAGCACCACTGCCAGTTCTTCATAGAGGCATAGGACACGAGCATGCTGAAGCACATCTTATATAGTGTGGAATGCTTGATTTGGGCAGAAGTAGTAGTGGCTGAATGTATGCTGTGAGTCATGTTAGGTATTTCAACACTTAACTACTTCACAGAATTGTATTAATCTGGAATATCTGGGGCTGGAAGGGGAGACATAAGATTTAGTTTGAAAATGCAGTTACCTCTTGATTTGTAGTGTCAGCTTTGTGGCTGGAGTAACCACAGTGATTCTGGGACTCTTCATTCACGTAGTCTGTTTGGATCCTATTCCTAAATGTTTACTCTAGGTTGGTCACAGAGGTACAGAATTAGTGAATGTATGTGTGACTGCATTATCTTTCTCAGGCCAGTCATATATTATGTTTTGAAAAATTCGTTTTTGGGCTGGATGTGGTGGCTTACAACAAGAGCCAACAAGAGCCAGACTGAAGAGGTCAGGGGAGGTGCCTTCAGCACCCAGCTCTCTGGGAGGCCAAGGTGAGAGGATAGGAGTTAGAGACCAACCTGGGCAACATAATGAGACCCCGTCTCTACAATAAAATTAAAAAAAAAAAAATAGCCTGGTGTGGTGGTCCTAGCTACTCAGGAAGTTGAAGTGGGAGAATTGCTTGAGCCCAGGAGTTCGAGGTTGCAGTGAGGTATGATTACACCGCTGCATTCCAAACTGGGTGACAGAGCGAGACCCTGTTTTTGAAAAAGGAAAAGAAAAAAATTCATTTATGTAGCTAATTGAAATTTGATTCTGCAGAGAGTTCTTACTATGTGACTCCTGTCCTGGATAAACTCATTGTTTGGTAGGCAAAATTAAATAAGGGGCACGTTTCTTTTTAAGTTGGAACCATTAAAGAAATTTTTATAGGATTGGAATACTGTGTTGTGTATTTTTTCTGAAGAGTTGTTGCTATTCCTTTAAAAATAATAAAGAGGTGTAAGAGTTTTTAGAGTCCAGGAATTTTAGCAGCTTAAAAACATTAGGGAAAAAGGACATCCATAAAAATCTGTTAGCTTTTGCTAGGAAAAAGGGCCTTCTCATAATGCAGTAATGTGTAGTTTCTCATATAAATATCATGCTCTTAAAACACTCTTAGTAGAATGATGCTTGATTTATTTTTCAAGCACTGATGGTGAAATCTTGGTGTATTATCCTTGATTTCTAGCCAAGGGTGCTTTCTAGTGCTGTGAACCAATATGAACTGTTCAGCTTCTTTGGTTTTTATGTCATTTTGTTGTATTAAATATTACTTGAAATAAGCAGAGGATTAGATAGAAGCTGAAAGTTTTGTTTTACATCTATAATTAGATGGAGTATTTATATGTAATATTATGTATACATGGTAACACAGTAAGTGCTAGTTCTTGCATATATTAGTCACAAGACCCAGGGGACAATCTTTTTGCCTTCTCAGGGCTCTTTTTTCTTCCATAAAATAAGAATATAGGGCCAGAGCTTTTCAAGGTCCCGTCTAGTTCATAAGTTTTTGATTTAACTTTTAATGGTTTTTATTCCTTGGATTGTTAAAGTTATTACTGATAATAAGCCATCACTACCCTGAAAATTATTATAATTTTTAATTTAAAAATAAGTTGTGGAGTTTATAAATTCAGTCTTCATAGGCAGAATAATAAAGCATAAAAGAATAGAACAACGTGGAGAGACCATGTAAAAATCTGTTCGATCCATTTGTGAATAGTTTTTTCAAACAATAAACACAAATGAGCAGAGACTATCCCTGCTTCTAGTAATCTATTTGAGTATAAATCTTGGTGTATAAAATATAACATCAATAAATCTTTATAAGTACACTTTTTTGATTTAGAATCGGTGACTGTATATCTTAGAGCTCTGTAATTGATTAATCAAAATTAACTTAAATCAGTATCAACCAAATAGACTAGTAGGACCACATTAATATTTTACAGAATATTAGCAAAAGAAGTGAATATATTTAGTGCCTTAGGCTGCTGCTGACTTGTGTTTTCTTCCCTAGGGTCCTTTGTTTCTTTGGTTTCTGAGGAACCAGGAATGATTTTTTTTCAGTGTATTCTTTAGTTTTGTAAGATACTAAAATAATGAGGTCTCTAATTACAGGATTTTAGAGCTGAAAGGGAATTTAAAGATTATCTACCTCCTTGTTTTTCCAGGCGAGGAAACGAAGGTCCTGAGAGGTTAAGCCACTTATTTAGGAAGATTTATGTGTATGTGTATGCATCTCGAGCCCTGGATGTGTAAGCATTGGGAGTTGGGTCACACTGTGTGATCCTAATAAAATCACTTCCTCTTTTTGGTGTTTCAGATTCTTTATCTGTAATGTTAGAGAACTGGACTTCATGGTTTCTAAGCTCACAGTCCCATATTATCCAAGGACCCATCCAGCTTTAAAATTCTGTGCATTTTTGTGGCTTAATTATGTTTGATACATGAAGAGGACAGAACTTAAAGGACTATTATTACTAGCATCATTTTAAATTAATAATATCCATTCAAAAATTTTTGATGGGATTTTGATCTGTGAATAGAAAGCTAACCCAATGAAACTCTCATTTAACTTAAATAAAAAAGAATGGTCATGGATTTTTTTTTTTTTTTTTTTTTGCAGGATTTGGGAAAGGGAGAGATTCTGTATAAACTGCACTTCCCTTATTTTCAGGAATAAGGAAACATTGCCATGACATTATTACAATTTTCATTTGTAAAACTCTCCCATGAGAACACTTGTGTTGCAAGCTTCAGTTTCTCAAAGGTTTTATGTTGATTAGTTAGGGTTAACTTGCCTTGCTGGAACTTGTTTGAAATTTCAAGTTTGGCCACTCGATGGGGCACAAACCACACTTTTTCTTTCAGACGCTTCTGCAAGTGAAAATACAGGGCAGTATATTTAAGATAACACCTGTAAATAATTGTTGTCAGTGAGATGCTTGGCATTTACAAATGTTTCATGAGTGAATGAATGTTGTAAAGACAGGGAGCTATAACTGTTCTTCATTATCATTATAAGTGTGTTAGAGTGAGTATCCTGGAAAGATTATACTTGCCTGTCTATCTCTGAAGGTTGGTTTTGGATCAGCTTTTGGGTGAAGGCCCAGATCATAAGAGCCTAAGAATCTTATTTGACCTGGGGTGACCATGGAAAATTAGTTCTGGCTTCAAATTCAGTCCTAATCTGGGAAGCATTTGAGACTGAGTTGTGTTGGCTGGGGGTTTCAGGTATATTTGAGTTGTAGGCCGCAAAGGAGTGTATCTAAAACTCCCATGTAGTAAGAGAAGATAATACTAGAGCTGTTAATTTTATTTATTTTTTATGTATAAGAAAAGGAAAAAATAAGTTTTACTAGTATTTAATAAATGGATTGATGCAGTACTCTTGCTAAGGAGGACATACATAGGTATTCTGAGGGAAACAAAAGGATTGC